AGCCTCGTCGTTCCCAACTCACTTCCAACGTCTGGTTACCAAAGTAACCGCGTTGATCTCCAGTCTGCCTACCCACGATGTGAATTAATCTTAGGCAGACGAAATCAATCAGTAGTTGGGGCCGTAATGCAAATCGAGTTCAACGAGGGTGACACCGCACAATTATGCATAAAATAAAATAAAATGATAACTCAAAAGTTCAAGGTATCAAAGAAAAGGATAACAAAACTTTATGTCTAGTTGCTGGATACATAGGACTGCGTCTATCTCCCGACCCGCTATATGGATTGTGACACGTTGTTCTTTTGTGAGGCGAGTTTTAACACTTGAAGTTGTCTGTTCTTCAAGAAATTGGTTCTTGGTGTGTCTTCAGGCGAAAGTCGAAAAAAACTTATTTTGGTGGTCTGGATCTAAGTCGCTCTTCAAAATAATTGTTCTTGGATTGAAGATGAGTTCGGAAGCTGCGCGAATCTTAGTCAGCTGCGAGGCCTGCTTCAACTGAGCACTCTCCTCAACTCAACTCAACTCTACTGAACTCTCTCTGGAACTCTCTACTGATTTCTGCTCGCTGCGACTTTGCTTATATGGACGCCGATCAAAACCGGGGTGGGTTTGTCGGCGTCGGAGGTTCCTCGATAATTCTAAATACATATCCACTTCTTTTGTTTTTGGTTAGGAATTTTCCATTTCTTTCCATTTTGGGGAGTCTTCTCTTAGTCCCACCTTCTCACCATACTTCAGAGGGGCGTTAACTGTCCTCCCCACTTCTTCGTAGCAACCCCTCATACTCATCCTCTAGGTGGGCGGCGACAGCTTCCCTCCTTGTGTCACGTGATCACCACTCGGCCAATGATGTTCAGCCGGGCGTGTGCCGTCCAGCGGGCTTTGTTTCAGGAAAAAAAAATATATCTTGCTCAAAAAAAAAATTATCTTTTTCTCTTCCTTTTCTTTCCTTAATCGCAGCTCTCACCTTCTCTGGCCGCCAACAGAACAATGCGACCAGTAGTGTCATAAAATCTATTCTTCATCTGGATCTCGTCAGTAAGATTTTCGCTAATTATCAGAATGGGTGGTCAGAAAAACATCGTCCTCTCGAAAAAAAAAATGCTCCATTGTTCTAGTCATACTTTGGCGCAAATTTCTGATAACATAGTTCTGTTATCACAGCCAAAGATGTCTTGTCAAAAAAAAAAAAACAAAAAAAAACGGTCAGCCGTTACTTCGTGTGCGGCTTAGCAGACGACACAGTTAATTTTTTTATATCTATCCAAAGCCCTGTATTTCACCTGTTCTTTGTCAATTATCAAAATAACATTTTCAATTGGAGTTTTCTCGGCTAGTCGGTCTGTGGTTTGCTAATTAGATGTTTTGCCCGCATTACGCGGCTGTTATCTATCCCCGATAACACAAGTTCGTCGCCAGAACATAGTCGATTCCCTTATCAACTTTTTTCTGCCATGGTAATGACACTTTTCGCCATTTGCTACTTATCAAAATAACATTGTCAATTGTCTCTGGTCGTGGGTGTTTTTTTATCATCCACGCTTGGGTCTCGCCTCTCTTTTTCTTTCTTTCCTTTCTCTTTTTCCTTTCTTTTCTTTTTGCCCTGGTAAATGGTGCCACAAAACACTAAGCACTTGACGATGTCAGCGCTTAATTCTGCTAGCTTGAATTCTTCACAATGCTTATTCACATTGGCTGCGTACATTATATAGTCTTGTTCTTCATCTTTCATCTGATTCAAACATTTCCACATCTTGTGAAACAAAGATGTCTTTTTACTAAATAATTCACTTAATGTACTTACCGCCTCGGTAAAAGTCAACTCGCTAGTTTTTTTCGGTAAAATGTAGTATACCCATTTGTTATGCTCAGCAGTTCCTAACTTGCTTAAAAGAAGTCTAACCTTTTTTCCTTCAGACCACGAGTGGCAGTCCTCGTTATACACGTCCGCATATTTTTATAATACTCCTCAAAAGTTATCTCTTCATCTGGACTGTACGTGAATATTTCAATTGAATTCCATATTGTATTCTCTGGGAAAGAATCATATTGTAGATTTTTCTCTTTCCTCTTCTCAGTTATTTCCAGAATTTGGTTTTGAAACTCCTTATGCATTTGTTCCATTTCTCATTGAAACTGCATTTGTCTATTAAAAGTTTCCTCCTGCAGTTACATCTGGAATGTTTTCTGTTTCTCTAATATTGTCATCTGTTGTTCCGTCTGGAACATAAAAAAATCCTGGAATATATTTTTGCATTCCTCCATCTTCGCAAAGTTTACACTGCTTAAATATTGTAGAGGGGGGTCCAAAACGAATTTGCAATTCGTGACCTATTTGAGCAAACTGTCTTATTGAGAAAAAAAAATTCTTTTCTCAGTTGAGAATAAACTGATTTTTTCGTCACTAAGTTGACGTCTTGTCTTTCGAAAAACTTTTCCAAGTTTTTGTTTTTTTTTAAATGTGAATCCGAGATGTTGTCGCCGAAAATTTGACGAGCAAGTTTTTTTTTCTTTTTCCTCCCTATGAGAACAAATTTCGTCACCAAATAATGCGAGCGAATTTTTCTTTTTCTTTCACCGTATGAATCCGAATCCCTCGTACGCCAAGTTTGTTATGGCCGGTGAATTTTTTTTTTCTTATGTATGAGTTACGAATCCACGTCGTCAAGTGTTGTAGAGTGAACGGAAAGTTTTTTTTCCGTATGAATCCGTCGCCAAGTGTTGTATATGGCGAAACGGATTCTTTTTTCTTTTTTCTTTGTTTCCTCCGTATGAGTTCCGAATCCTGGTCGTCAAAGTTGTTGTAGAGTGAACGAAAAATTTTTCTTCCTCCGTATGAGAACGAATCCCTCGTCGCCAATGTGTTGTAGAGTAATTTCACAGTGGATCCTAAAAAAGGTTCAACGTACAAAACGTTAGGAACTTGTTATAATAGTTAATGACGCAGCAATCTAGTTGTGGTGATTGATACTTTAATGTCCGACAGCGACTGACTCACCAACACACTGAACGACTTCGCGACTGCTACTACTACAACTTTTTATATGTGGGAGAGTCTATTAACAATAGAATAGGTATGTTCAAGTATAACAGTATTTCATATGGGGAAAAAAAACAAACTTTTATTCCCGCATTTATAATTATTTTACTTGCATTTCCCTGTCAAACCCCTTTTCTTTCATTTATCTTTATTCGTTATTTTTCTTTCATTCCCCAGTGAAACCATTTTTCTTTCATTATTTTATTCGTTATTTTCCTTTCATTCCCCTGTGAGACCCTTTTTCTTTCATTCGTCTTTATTCGTTATTTTTCTTTCATTCCCCTGTCAAACCCTTTTTCTTTCATTCATATTTATTCGTTATTTTTCTTTCATTCCCCTGTGAGACACTTTTTTTTCATTCGTCTTTATTCGTTATTTTTCTTTCGTTCCCCTGTCAAACCCTTTTTCTTTCATTCATCTTTATTCATTATTTTCCTTTCATTCCGCTGTCAAACCGTTTTTCTTTCATTCATATTTATTCGTTATTTTTCTTTCATTCCCCTGTGAGACCCTTTTTCTTTCATTCGTCTTTATTCGTTATTTTTCTTTCATTCCCCTGTCAAACCCTTTTTCTTTCATTCATCTTTATTTGCTATTTTTCTTTCATTCCCCTGTCAAACCCTTTTTCTTTCATTCATCTTAATTAGTTATTTTTCTTTCATTCCCCAATGAAACCATTTTTCTTTCATTATTTTATTCGTTATTTTTCTTTCATTCCCCTGTTAAACTCTTTTTTTTTTCATTCGTCTTTATTCGTTATTTTTCTTTCATTCCCCTGTCAAACCCTTTTTCTTTCATTCATATTTATTCATTATTTTGCTTTCATTCCCCTGTCAAACCCTTTTTTCTTTCATTCATCTTTATTCATTATTTTCCTTTCATTCCCCTGTCAAACCCTTTTTTCTTTCATTTATCTTTATTCGTTATTTTTCTTTCGTTCCCCTGTCAAACCCTTTTTCTTTCATTCATATTTATTCATTATTTTGCTTTCATTCCCCTGTCAAACCGTTTTTCTTTCATTTATCTTTATTCGTTATTTTTCTTTCATTCCCCTGTCAAACCCTTTTTTCTTTCATTCATCTTTATTCATTATTTTCCTTTCATTCCCCTGTCAAACCCTTTTTTCTTTCATTTATCTTTATTCGTTATTTTTCTTTCGTTCCCCTGTCAAACCCTTTTCTTTCATTCATATTTATTCATTATTTTGCTTTCATTCCCCTGTCAAACCGTTTTTCTTTCATTTATCTTTATTCGTTATTTTTCTTTCATTCCCCTGTCAAACCCTTTTTTCTTTCATTCATCTTTATTCATTATTTTCCTTTCATTCCCCTGTCAAACCCTTTTTCTTTCATTATATTATTCGTTATTTTTCTTTCATTCCCCTGTCAAACTATTTTTCTTTCATTCATCTTTATTTGCTATTTTTCTTTCATTCCCCTGTCAAACTATTTTTCTTTCATTCATCTTTATTTGCTCGTATATGTATTGTCTCGACCTTGGTTAGTTGTCATATGGTCATTGTATACGATGGATGTTACTCCAAGGAAGCATACGAATATTGTTACACGGCACGAACTGGCAACCAGCAAGCAAATCAAAGTATCATAGATTGGCCCAGTACTCTCCCGATTGAATGCAACCGAGAATCTGTGGTCAACCTGCAAGGACTGACCACAGATTTTTCGTGAAATAGACAAACGAATTACTAACATGTGCACCGAGTCATGTTTCATTGAAAATATTCGAAAAAAAGTAAATAATAACGGAATTAATCGTTTTGTTTCAATTAAGCTGCACAAGGGTGCATATATATATATATATATATATATATATATATATATATATATATATATGTGTGTGTGTGTGTGTGTGTGTGTGTGTGTGTGTGTGTGTGTGTGTGTATGGAGATAGACAGAGAGAGAGAGAGAATGAGAGAGAGAGAGATTTAAGAGGGCGGTTAATGAAATTCGAGGTGCGAAAAGACAAAAATTGATAAAATAGAATCCATAAAACTAGAAATTTGACTAAAGCGAAGCACGAAGAGAAATATTTTAATGTCGGAGTTTTTGCACATGCCTGTGTCCTTTATGAAGGAGGTGAGAAATAAATAATGAAATGAGCCACACTCTTCCGGAGAGTGTCGTTGCCGTTTTGGGAGGAAAAGAATAAAAAAGAATGAAAGAAAGCATAAGTGAAAAGAATGAACGAAATAGAAAAGAAATGAAAGAAAGCAGAATAAAAAGGAAATATATTTTAAGGGAAAAAAGGATGGATCAAGGAAGCAAGGAAGAAAAATAACTAATAAAGATGAATGAAAGAAAAAGGGTTTGATAGGAGAATGAAAGAAAAATAACGAATAAAGATGAATGAAAGAAAAAAGGTTTTGACAGGGAATGAAAGAAAAATAGCAAATAAAGATGAACGAAAGAAAAAGAGTTTGACAGGGGAATAAAAGAAAAATAACGAATAAAGACGAATGAAAGAAAAAGGGTCTCACAGGGGAATGAAATAAAAATAACGAATAAAATAATGAAAGAAAAATGGTTTCACTGGGGAATGAAAGAAAAATATTGCATTCTCCAAGCTATGGACTCAAAGTTTGTATGGTTTGAAGAATTTTTGTCCATTTTTCTGCCAAAAGAGTCTCAAGATCTTTCAGTGATGATGGTGGAGGATATCATCTCCTTACTTGTTTTTCTAAAATGCACCATAAATTTTCAAGAATATTGAAATCTGGGAGGGTGAGGGCCTGATAAGATGTTCTATTTCACTAGAATGTTCTTCGTGACAATCAAACACAATAGCTGTGTGAATTGGTGCATTATCATCTTTAAATAAAAAGTTCCGCGACCATAGGATGAATTTGTTCTGATAAAATTTATAAATAGTCTTGACATTTGATTCTGCCATGACGGAAAACCATTGGGCCATCGGATTTCCAAGATACAGCCATCACAGGCCACCACAGGCCTCCACAGGCCACCACAGGCCACCACAGAGCTTCCTCCATGTTTAACAGTTGGAAGGAGATAGTCTGGATTAAATGTTTCTTTAAGCTGTCTCCACACCTATACTCGACCAGATGTCGGAAATAAGGCAAAGGATGACACGTCTGTGAAAGTAGCGTCCATTCACTGTTCCAGGGATCTGTATTTTATGTAGTTTTCTTACTCCATTCTAAAGGCTTTGCAATATTGCTTTGAGAAATGAGTGGTTTTATGATTGCAACACTCCCGTGAAATCTAGCTTAGTACAGCTCCCTTCTTAGAATTGTTAATGAAACTGTATTCTCGAAATGGTCATTAATTTCTGTTGTAATTTTTGGAACTGTATTCTTGTGATCCTTCCTAACAATCCCCGTAAGAGTCCGACGGTCCCTATCAGACAGCTTTCGCTTTCTTCCAGAATTTTCTTTCAGTGAGTAGGTGTTTCCTCCTTTTTCAAATGCTGTCATTACTTTCGAGTCAGTACTCCTTGCTGCACCAAATAATTCAGCGGTTTTTGTTACACTAGCACCTGCCATGCGAGTAGACACAGTTTGACCTATTTTAAAGTTTGACAGATCTGCCATTTGAATGAATTTTGATTAATTTCATACGATGATATCTGTAAAAAAACAGCGATTTTAGTAAGATAAAACAAGAAAAATTAATGGTAAATAAAAAAAACCCATAATAATAACAAACGTTTGATGGCTTTATAGGAGTTTCAATTTATGATACTAAGATTCTAGACGTTTGCATTATTTTGTCCAACCCCTATATATACACACACAAACATATATGTGTACGAGGTTATTTAAAAGTTACCAAAAACTTCCAATTCTTTCAAGTCTAATATTTTGAAATCTAGCTATAACTGTAGATAGAGATATTGCAATTCTTAGAGAAATATTTTTTATAAGTTTTAACGAAAGTCTTTAAGTTCTGATTTTAATATTTTATAACATATCGCCTTTTTATTGATTATTATGTTTAAGAAAAAGATTCTAATGATAAATCCTTTATTCTCTCTAAGATTTCTATTGCTTCCTGTTTTTAAAGAACCTGAATACAATGTCGACATCTCGAGCAGGTGGGATAAAACCAAGAAAGAACAAGATAAATGTTTATAAATATATTCTATATTTTACATCTGATCGTCTATTAACTCTTCTTTGTGGTGAAATATAATTTTTATATTTTCCCTTACATAAGCAATGCCAAAACCAACTGCTTTTATGGAACCAACTGCTTTCAATATTTCTTTAAATAAAATCATATTATTATTTAATTTTTGTTTGAAAAATATATAACAATATCGCAATAAAACCGTAGTACTATTTGATATGTCCCGGAAAGGGATATATTTGTGTGAAGTAGCAAAGTAGTTTTGGACTACTGTAACCGAGTAGGACAATCTAGCAGGTAACCGTAATGGACTAGTCTTCGTCGTAGTGGTAGTCAATAGGTGTAGGCCAATAGGCGTCGTCAAATAGGCGCGTCCTTGTACCTTCACATCAGTCTGTATTTATGGCTGACACCAGCCAATCATATTACTGTGAGGGATAACTAGGTGTTGTTTTTTTTAAACGTTTCACCCAAAGAAAGGCGGAATACCACTAGGACGCAAGGGGTTACAGAAGATTTGGAGCAAGATTGGATAGGAGTGTTAGATGAGGAGAAGGATAGTGGATAGATCAAGGCAACTGGAGACGTCGATTGACATTACATTTAAATAGTTGGAGATTATAGCTCTCAGGGAAACTGGAATAGGGAAGAGAGTTCCACAGGGGAGAGGTGCGAGATATGAAGGTATTGGAGTAGAAGCGACGGCTATAGTTTCAACAGTGAAAGGGTGAGAGTGGGATGCCAGCCTCGTAGGGCGCTTGAATTCATGAATTCTGGGAACCAGTGAATGTAGCTCCTTGGAGCAATTACCATGAAAGTATTTGTAAAAAAAGACAGAGAGAGGCGACGGCGCGTCTATGGGAGAGCGACTGTAGACTAGATGCCAGAACAGGGCCAATTATATTGCATATCCGCCTCTGGATCTTATCAACTATCCCAAGGCAAACAGAAGGGGCTCCAGACCATATATGGCAGCAATACTCCATGCAAGGGCGAATTGTTGATTTGTAGATCTGGAGGATTGATTCCGGGGAGAAAAATTTCCTGGCGCGGCACAGGGAGCTAACTTTCCTTTGTATGCATATTCATTATATCACTATTGGAAACCTATTTGTCTGGAAATCTATTTGTCTTGAAATCTGTCAAACTGAAGAACTTTCTCTATGGACTTTCTTTGTTTTAAGAAATATTTTCAGATATTGGATTTGTTGTTATTAAGGTTGTGCACAACATGGTTTAAAGTGAGAATAATATTTGCGTATTTGATTAACACAATAACTTCACGCGTGAAAATAAAACTTCAACGTTAATTGTTTACCTTCGTTGTCATGATAATTTTAAATTTATTAAAAGTCTTATGGAGATAGACAAGCGGTATAAGAAAATGAAAACTTATCACGGAAATCCGGTGTTTTTCTTCAAATATAGGCAAACCACTCTACAAATAGAGCATACTGAATCGGTTCCAGTAGACTGAGTTTTTGATTGGCATCTATATTGGAATATCCAAAATGGCAACACATTTAAGGGATTTGGGGAGTTTCAAGGCAAGATCCAAGATGGCAGCAGTCGACATTTTACACACGATTCACAAAGTTGTGGAAACTATGGAGGTACATAACTCTTTCTCTCACGGATACAGAAAGTATTGTCATGCAACAATTATTTCACGCATGAAAATAAAACCAGGTCAAAAATGCAGCTTCATTGACTTTGCAACAATTGAGCCATTGAAAAAAGTGAGGTATTAAAAGAATTAAATTTGGTAAGGAGTTGTATTTGCCTAAAAAGTATAGCAACTATATTTCTTTCTACAAGCGCACACTTTTGTATATAAAATATAAAACGTTAAAACCTTTTTTTTAATAGATTCTTATAAAATATTTATTTTATTGATGTTTTGAACCGTAGAGCGAGTCACCTAACACGAGGCCACTTGGAAGCCAAGGATCGTATTATATCGACTTATATGCATATGTCTTGTGGTTTTCTTCCAAGCGAACTGGCCACGAGATATGTCGACCACAGAATAATAGCAAGTAAGTTGGCCATAAAACACAGATAGTATAATTATAGAACACTAAATACAGGAGGCAGTCGGCCATGTTTTTTTTTCTTGTTTGTCTCTTTTGGTCGGCTTCTGGCTGTACACTCTCTAGGTATTTGCGATAACTTTCTCAGTTCGCTTCGACCGGTGTAAGAGCGAAAAATATAGGTAACATAGAAGTATGTGTTAGAGTTTGTTAAATGGTAGGTTTATTGCCAAGGGACGAGAAATTAGCCCAAGAAGCTCGTCTTCGGGGTAAGGAGAAAATTTTATTTCAAAGTTTTATTTGACTTCTTTAGAAGAAAACTAGATAAGAGAACTGGTTGGCTTTCGATGAAAAAGCGGAGAAATAGGAAGAAGTCATAGGGAAATTTAAACGAATAAATAAATGACGATTATTATTATGAAATGAGGGAAGTTATGAAAGAATGACACAGTGAACAAATCAGAAGAAAAAGAAAAATGTAAAAAGAAAAAGATTCTCTAAAATGAATTAAAAATTGAATGAAAATTTATAAAAGATAAAATTAAATAGAACTAAGAATTATTAAATGTATGAAAGTAAAAGAAAGAAAGAAAGAAAGAAAAAGAAAGAGAGAGAGAGAAAGAGAACGAAAAATAGAAGTAAAGCAAGACAAGTTGAAAAAGTGAGAATAACATGGACTTAAAAGAAAGGAAATGTAATAAAAAATAAAATGAATGAAAATATTCGAGAATCACAAAGATAATAAAAACGATAAAAAGAATGAAATGATAAAAGAAAGAGAAAATGAATGAGAATAAGCCTCAGAGTGAAAGAAAAAAAAACGTATTCGATGAGGATGAAAGTAAAATGAAGAAAGAAAGATTAATTGTCACAAGAATGATGAGAGTTGTAACGTCAAAAAGAAAGGCTAAGGATTCAAAAGAACGATTAAAAGGGAGATAAGGGAATGGACCAGGGACAATGAGAAAAAGAAATGAAGCGAATGAAAGATGAATGATGTGAAGAAATAAGAAAGCAAAAATAACGGTAAAAAAGGACTGAATAAAGAAAAGAACCAAAGTGAAAATAAGATTTTTAATCTTAGTGCAGAATGCTGAGGTAAGTTTTATGGGAAAAAAAGAAATGAAATAAGAGAGAAAGAAAAAGTAAAAAAAAAATCATAAAAAGAAAAAGTAAGAATTAAAAGATGTAAAGTCGAATAAAAGAAAAAAAACAAAAGAAATGTAATTGAAGAAAAATGGCTGCCGACGTTGGACACAGTTAATAGACGCGTGTAGTACACTTGTAAAATGTTTCTATTTCAAACAAAATGAACAAACGAATTGAGCCATATATTTTCCTTTCGTCTTGTATACTTTCTCCCCAACTATTTTGTGATTATTTATTATTGTTTCGCTATTTTCTTTCTTTTTTGTTTGTTTGTTAATCCGACTTCATTTTCCATTTCGACTTCGTAGTTTTTATGGCGATAGATATTTTTTTTTCTTTTACTTTGCTCTAAGTGTTATTTTGCCAAAGGAATTGAAAAAGTGAAATAAGTGTCTGTGTGCATGTGTGTTTGTGTTTGTGAGAGAGAATGTGTGCGTGTATGTGCGTGTGTAAGTGTGCGTTTGTGCAAGAAACAGAGGAGAAGGGAGGTTGAGAGAAATTGGCTACTATCCAAGTTTTATTATGACTCGAAAAAATAGAAATCATGGACCAAGCAGAAAACCTGTTCAAAAGAAAATTGCACATACGTTAAACGCACACATACACACACACATGCACATACGTATATTTATATACAATGAAGGAATACGTCAGTGGACACTGAGAACATTTGTTCTGTGAATGTGTTTCAACATGAATATTAATGAACGTTTGGACATAATTCTGTTAATATTAAATTGAAAGAGTCTGGCAATTCAAAAAGACTATCGTTTTGTGGTGTATTTCTTTATTCTGTGTCAGAGAGTAGAGTCATTGTGTTTAATTTAGCATGCATTGTCCACTGTCTTATTATTTCACTTTCTACTAAAATTCGGGCAGAGGTGACACTCTAAAACCTTCAAAGAAATATAATACATATCTACAGACACAACCCTGTCAGCACACGAAGAATTCTTTGATTATGGCGTTTGAAAGTCAAAAGAGCTCGAAAGATATTGAAAAAATATTTGATCAAATTCAATTCTCCGCGGAAGCCGAAGTGGAGAAAAATATAAAAAAATATTAAAGGACTTTCGTTACTCTTCAACCAAACCGGAAAAATTAAAAAAGAGATGCCAAATATACACTGATTAAATACACACACACACACACATGCATATATATATATATATATATATATATATATATATATATATATATATATTGTAAATTAACAGATTTAAAATTTAATATTTATTCTCTGTAAATTTACATTGAGCACTGTTTTGTAAAAATAAACATATCAATAAGAACACCGGAATATATATCTTACTGTTCTTTCTTTTTATTATAAAACACACACACACACACACACACACACACACACACACACACACACACACATATATATATATATATATATATAAACCGAGTGTATCAGAAAAATTGTCCAAATATAGCCTGACGTGCCTTTAACCGATTTGGCCACAGAGGAGCGTTCGGTTAGCAAGGTCGATTTTACTGTCTTTAAACTACAATCTTCAATGATTCTCTCACGTTCATTCATATCTGCTTAATGCGTATCCAAATATAAAAAATGTTGTCATACATTATGAAATGGACAAAGTCCGACAACTAATTTAAGACATTTTTATAAAAAGAATGTATAAACGTAAATATTTGTCTACATTTGGATATCGGTTAAATGTCAGGCTAAATGACGGTTCCGTATAGGATACAGGTTCAATTCCTGTCGGAGGGCGAATATCTTCTATGAAAATTACTCGGACATTCGGCCCGGTAAATGTTGTTTAATACTGAGCATTTACTTAAATATTTGTATCTATAAAAAGAATGTATAAACATAAAAAATGTCTTAAAATACATACATACACATACACATACACACACACACACATATATATATATATATATTTTAGCTCTATCTCTGATATTGAGCGCTTTCTAATAAGTACCGCGCATATAATATATAAATAATTATACATATATATATATATTTATTTATATTTATATACACTTTTCACACACACACACACACACACACACACACACACACACACACACACACACACACACACATATATATATATATATATATATATATATATGACCAACCAAGAATTTAGGTTTGTGTGAGCTACTGTTCGTAGTCGTCAGGCGCTAGAAAATATGGGCAATTATACCTACTCTTCTAACACAAGATATTACAATAAGTGTTGATGGGGAGTATAGCAAGAATAAATCAGGATATCGGTAAAGCGTCAAAGAAACTCTCAATTAACACTAAAACGAAATATTTGGCATTCATTGACCGAAGAATTAGCATTGAAATCTATTAAGTATTTCTTTTAAAATATTTCTTTTTCTCGGGAAAATAGGCTTTTCTAAAATCATTCTTTCTAGTATTGATTGGAATAACCTTCCTAACATTTTCTTTATGATATTATCATTTACCTTTCGCTTACATATGCTATCCATTTTAGCTGTTGTTTCTAATAGAAGCATATATATATATATATATATATATATATATATATGAAAAAATATAGTCTTAAGGTGTGCTTTATTTATGGGATAAAGTGCTCGATATCAGAGATACAGCGTGTGTAAATATAAAAGTGAACATAGAAGTCAACACTTAGAGGCGACAGTCTGTTTCATACAAGATGCAATCGTCAGGACACCTGGCCTGCATATAGCATGAAACAGACTGTCGCCTCTAAGTGTTGACTTTTATGTTCACTTTTATATATATATATATATATATATATATATATATATATATATATATATATATATATGACGTTGGAATCGTAACCACGATCCAATTCATCAGACCTACAAATTCAAAAAGAGAAGCCTAATGTTCACTTTTATATTTACACACGCTCTATCTCTGATGCTGAGCACTTTATCTCATAAATATAGCACATCTTAACACTATATATATATATATATATATATATATATATATATATATATATATATATATATAAAATTGAGAGAAAGAACAGATGTGGTAAAAGTTCACAGTTCGTGGCATTTACTTTTAAAAAGTGCTGAACCCTGGTTTCAAATTTCGCTCATTGTGGTAGACTGTTCTAGTTCCACGTACCATGTTTAATGGATATCAGTTATCAGTTATCTCCTGTTAATTCCCGTCTCTAAGTTCTCCACTGGCTTAACCGCCTTTACCCAAGGCGTTGGTTAGATCCAGTGCCAGGACCCAAAGAGTGTGAGTTCAATACCCGTTTAAGGCAGTGGAGAACTGTGGAATTAACAGGAGATAAATTTTAACTGATAATTATTAAACATGGCACGTGTAACTAGAACAGTTCGACATTCCAACCACCTGTAGAAGGCCGGAGCCTACAACGGTCGAAACGTTTTAATAAATATGGTGACAAAGATGAGTACAATAGTCCGAATAATATAAATAGTGTACATAATACCTCATCACAGAAATATAGACAGAAATTCAAATATTTAGGTATAAATAGGAATTTAGACATACACAATTAATACAGCTTGCACGAAAAGCCATCTATAACGTTAATCGTGGTGAACAGCTAAGCACAAAATGCTAGACTTCATCAGTAATATAATATATGGTAACTATCCACCCCAGGCAGCTCAATCCAACTTCATTTTTTACTTCTCATTGAGAAAGGACACAGGAGTGTCCGAAAATTGCAATTTTTATAATCATTTCTCATTTATGCTTCTATTTGGTAAAAAAGCTGACTAATCGACATGAAATACTATTAGTCTTATTAACAATGTTTTTTGTTTGTTGTGTTATCTCTTGAATTTCTTTCAGCGGCCTAGTATATCTGCCATCTGGCGTGCGATGATAGATTGCGGGTAGAATATATATATATATATATATATATATATATATATATATGGCCTGACGATTGCGCGTAGTATTAAACAGCCTGTCGCCTCTAAGTGTTAACTTCAATGTTCACTTTTATGTTTACACACGCTCTATCTCTGATATAGAGGACTTTACCCCATAAATATACCTCATCTTAAGAGTATATTTCTTCATATATATATATATATATATATATATATATATATATATATATATATATAGAGAGAGAGAGAGAGAGAGAGAGAGAGAGAGAGAGAGAGATAGATAATACATTTTACATGCATCAAGTGTGGTCATCAGTGATTCACTCTCCTCATCGCCGATTTCGGGTTTTGCATCATATCGGCTGAAACAATAAACCCGACCTGACTTCAGACGAGTCAAACCGCCTCCTTGATAGCGGCGAGCTACACACTTCGACATTGCAAAAAAAATATAGATATACTAATTCAACCAATTGTTCATACTAATATTCTCATCATTTTACTTGTGAGTATAACTAGTTGGTGACTTTTAGTTGATTCGGCGTCATGTTCCTATCTGAAACAGAATTTAGGCATTCTATTTCAGGATAGTCGTATCTATCCACAAAACATAACCGTCTAAATCGCCATGACCATGGGCGTGTGGCCTATATCAGTAGTG